CCCTAGCCTGGGGCGGGAAACAGGTATCCAGAACCAGGAAACCCAGAGAGTTATAAATAAGACGACCCAAAGGAACCCTATAAAGACACATTGTAATTAAATTGTCAAAAGTTAAAGACAAGAATCTTAAAAGCAGTAAAAGAAAAACAACTAGTTATGTACAAGGGAATACCCATAAGACTATCAGCATATCTTTCAGCAGAAACTTTGCAGGCCAGAAGGGAGTGGCACAATATATTCAAAGTGCTTAAAGGAAATGCTACCAACTAAGAATATTCTACCTGGCAAGACTCCACTTCAGAAGTGAAGGAGAGATAAAGAGTTATCCACACAAGCAAAAACCAAGAAGCTCATCACCACTAGAGTGGCCTTATAAGAATTCCTTATAAGGAATTTCTTAAGCTGAAATGAAAGGGCACCAATTAGTAACAAGAAAACACATGAAAGTATAAATCTCACTGATAAAGGGAAATATATAGTTAAAATCAAATAATCTAATGGTGTAATGGTGGTGGGTTAATCACTTATAAATCTAATATGAAGGTTAAAAGGCAAAAGTAGTAAAATTTAGTATAACTACAAAACTTTGTTAATGGATACACAAGATAAAAAGATGTAAATTATGACATCAAAAACATAAAAACATGGGGCAGAGAGTAAAAATATAGAAGATCCTTTCTAATTACTGAAGGATCACCAGTAACTGTGATAAAAGAAACTAATAAAGCAGGTTTAGAAAGAAAAATTGCCTCCATTGAGCCTGTCATCAATCATCTAGAACACGAAGAAACAATTCTTCTCCAGATGCAAGAAGAAAAAACGTAGAGATTAGACCAGCGAAGGATGAATAGAAGACAAGAGTTTTAATCCTTGGGGCTCTCTGAAGCTGACACAGGATTTCCATGGAAAGAGCAAAAAAAAGTTTCCTCTGTCTTTGGTCACAAGTTAGTATAGTTAACAGGAGGTAAACATTTGGAATCTGCTGCATAACTCATTCATGTAATAAACTAAAAAAAAGCCGTATAAAAACTTTAAAATTAAAAACTAAAATAAAGCTTTACCAATGAGTAAACAAAACTTAAATAGGTTTTTAAAAATCTCCTCTGAGACACTAAATTAAAAGATAATATATAATGATATAGATTCCTTCTGAGAGGTCTTGGAGGACTGGATCATAAAAAAACCTTCTGAAATACTTAGGTCTAAAACTAACAAAATATATAGGAGCTACATGAGGAAAACAACAAAACTCTAATGAAAGATATCAAAGTAGAACTAAATAAATGGAGACATATTCCATGTTTATGGATAAGAAGACTCAATTCTGTCAAGCCGTCAGTTTTTCCCAACTTGAGCTATAGATTCAATGCAATCCCACTACAAATCCCAGCAAGGGGGCCAGCCCCATGGCCGAGTGGTTGGGTTCGCACGCTCAGCTTCATTGGCCCAGGGTTTCGCTGGTTCAGATCCTGGGCATGGACATGGCACTGCTCATCAAGCCATGCTGAGGCAGTGTCCTGCATGCCACAACTAGAAGTACCCACAACTAAAAATACACAACTATGTACCAGGGGGCTTTGGGGAGAAAAAGGAAAAATAAAATCTTTAAAATAAAAAATCCCAGCAAGTTATTTTGTGCATATTGACAAACTGATTCTAAAGTTTACATGGAGAGGCAAAAGACCCATAACAGCCAAGACAATATTGAAGGAAAAGGACAAAGTTAGAGCACTGACACTAACTGACTTCATGACTTACTATAAAGGTACAGTAATCAAGACAATGTTTATTAGTGAAAAAACAGACAAATAGATCAATGGAACAGAATAGAGCCCAGAAATAGACCCTGATAAATACAGTTAACTGATCTGTGACAAAGGAGCAAAGGCAATACAATGGAGCAACAAGAGTCTCTTCAACAAGTAGTGTGGAACAACAGCACATTCACATGCAAAAAAAGGAATCTAGACACAGACCTTACACCCTTCACCAAATGTTACTCGAAATGGATCACAGACCTAAATGTAAAACACAAAACTATAAACTTCCAGAAGATAAAATGGGAGAAAATGTTGGTGACTTTGAGTCTAGTGATGCCTTTTCAGATAGAACACCAAAGATATATCCATAAAAGAAATAACTGATAAGCTACGCTGCATTAAAAACTCTGCTCTGAGAAAGAATACCACAAGAATGAGAAGAAAAGCCACAGACTGGGAGAAAATATTTACAAAATTCAAATCTGATAAAGGACTGTTATCCAAAACATACAAATAACTTTTAAAACTCAACAGTAAAAAACAAACAACCTGATTAAAAAATGGGCCAAAGATCTTAGATACCTCACCAAAGAGATACACAGATGGCAAATACACATATAAAAAGATGCTCCACATCATATGTTATCTGGGAATTACAAATTAAAACAATGAGATACCACTACATACCTATTAGAATGGCCAAAATCCAAAAGACTGACAACACCAAATGCTGACAAGGATGTGGAGCAAGAGGAACTCTCATTCATTGCTGGTGGAATGCAAAATGGTAGAGCCACTTTGGAAGACAGTTTGGCTGTTTCTAATAAAACTAAACTTACTCTTACCACACAATCCAGCAATCGTACTTCTTGGTATTTACCTAAAGGAGTTGAAAACTCATATCCACACAAAAACCTTTACACAGATGTTTATAGCAGCTTTATTCATAACTACCAAAACTTGGAAGCAACCAAGATGTCCTTCAGTAGGTGAATGGATAAACTGTGGTACATCCAGACAATGAAATATAACTTAGCACTAAAAAGAAGTGGGCTATGAAGCCATGAAAAGACATGGAGGAATCTTAAATGCATATTACTAAGTGAAAGAAGCCAATCTGGGAAGGCTACATACTGTATGATTCCAACTATATGACATTCTGGAAAAGGCAAAACTATGAAAACAATAAAAGGATCAGTGTTTGCCAAGGGTGGGAGCAGATGAAAAGGCAGAGCACAGAGGATATTTAGGACAGTAAAAATACTCTGTATGAAATTATAATGATGGATATAAGTCACTATACATTTGTCCAAACCCATAGAATGTACAACATCAAGAATGAACCCTAATGTAAACTATGGACTTTGAGTGATTATGATGTGTCAGTATAGGTTCATCCTTGGTGAAAACGTACCATTCTGGTGAGTGATGTTGATAACGGAGGAAACTATGTATGTGTGGGGGCAGGGGCCATATCATAAATCACTGCACCTTCCTCTCAATTTTATTGTAAACCTAAAACTGTTCTAAAAAAATAAAAGAAAAAAGAAATTTGCTACCAGCTTGTCCCTTAAGTTTCCCCTAAATAATGACAGTAAGGTAAGTCCCAGGAGGTGGCAGAGGGAAATGTGGTCAGGAGAAACTTATTTTGGGTTTTGCAATCTCCTTGATCTTCCTGATTTCCTGGTCAGACATGACATTGTAGTACCTGATGATGCGTGGGCTGTCCCACTCATCCTCCTCTTTGAAGGGGGCAATGAGCAGCTGTGGTGTCCTGTCGCCATGGTGGTACCTACAGAAAAGCCTCTTCCACTTCTGTGGTGTCTGGGGAGCAGAGAGCAACAAGCCCTGACCTAAGTCCCAGGCCCCTCTGGCTGCAGGCACTGGGCTCACTCCTTAGACCCACATCCCTATCCCATCAGAAAGGAAGCAAAAGCCCTTTTCTTGGTTGGCATAAATGACAACACAAACCATTCAATGCCTTCTTCTCTCCCAGGAACATCCCATCTCACATCCACAAGCCCTATGAGGGAGGCCACTCTTAGACTGAACTTGAACAACAATGACAATTTAGCTGACATGGGCTTTGGAAAAAACAGCCTCTCTTCTATCCATCTTCCTATAACATCCAGGGGTGACCAGCTCACTCTAGACTGAACCCTTTAGTGGTTCCTGTTCTCCAAAGCCTTGCAACTCATAGGATGGCCCATGGACCAGCAGTGAGAGCATCAGCTGGGCAACTGTTGGAAATACTGAATCTTAGGCTCTACCCCAATATTGCCAAATCAGAATCTGCATTTTAGCAACATCCCTGGGTGATTCTCATGCACGTTAAAGTTTGAGAAGCAGTGCCTAACAAAGTCAAGTCCAAGTTCTATATTATGATCTACCAGACCTTCCATAATATTAAAATCCTGAACACCACAGCTTCTTTTTTCAAATTTTATGCTCCACTAATACAAAAAATTCTTGTTATTCTCAAAATACAACGTAATTTTTCTCACTGTACATTTGCACATGGTGTGGTCTCAGCCTAAAGCTTCTCTTAGTACACTGTCCACAAGGCACACTAGTTCAAGAGTCCTTTCTTTATGAATGCTCATCCCTCTTTGTCCTAAAGTTAATTTACCTCTTCTTCTGTGTCATCACCAAATCCTGCATATACCATTGCTGTAGTAAAATTACTTATTTATGTTTTTAATTTCCCTTTAATAGACTACCCTCTTCCAGGACAGGGTCATACATTATTCATTTTTGCACGTTTCGCTATTACTGAGCCAGAAACACAGTGGTTGCAAAACATTAATGCTAGTTATGCCAAAATACAGGCAAAAAGGAACTTTCCAAAGGCAGTAAACTAACAAACTATCAAAGAAAAAAAAAAGCTTTGTGAATTAATCAAAGTAGAGCACAATAAAGATTTGGTGATGAACTGAAAAAAATTGCTTAATTTTTTCCATAGGCATATAACAAAAAAATTGTTGAGTAAATAATATATAAATGGTCTTAATGCCTAACATCTAAAATAAACATTCAATATAACTGTAACACTAAAAAAAGACCCAATGGTGCATTCAAGGGACAGGTATGAGGACTAGAATACCTTCTCAACCAAACCTGGCCTTCCAAAGCCCAGAGCCCTACACAGTCATATTGCCGGGTGATCTGAAGGTCTCCCAAAGATCCCAAGCAATCCTTTCAACTCCATCAACCCCCTTCCCCATCTTACAAGTTTAATACCCTCTCCACAGCAGAGGCTCTCATAAAACAAAACCTCTTGGTTTTGCAGATGGTCCAGGGAATCCTGAGGGCATTGTTGGATATCTCATGCTTGGTCTCTGATGCCCCACTTCCAGGCTTTCCTGTCCTTTCTTCCTCCAACAACTTCACAAAGTATGGCAGATTCAGCCAGGCTTGTTCATGAGAGGAGTCTGAACAGAGAAAAGCAAACAGCTAACAATCAGAGAGGTCACTCAGGGAAGCTCTGCAATTCCCCTTCTTCAAACTACTCTGACAAAACTGTATGGAATTTGAACATTGTCCAGAATTAGAATTGAGAGAGAAACAAAAACTAGAATGGAAAAAACCCACCCCACTTTGCCTCACTCACCACTCCAGAGAGCTCTAGCACAGACAGGCAGCCAGGGGTCCTGCCTCACATTCATAACTCAGCTTTATCCCCACAATACCCAAGAGAGAAGTATAGGCAGCATTTTGGTTCTCCATTCCTCAGATAAGAAAACCAAGACCTAGAGTAATCAAGGAACTTAGGTCAAGATGATATAGAAAGAAAAAGGCAAACCAGAACTAGAGCCCAGATGTCTAACTCCTGGTCTAAAGCTCTTACTGAAACACTCAAAGGAACTTACAAAGCTTATTTCACACATAGGATGCTCCCAGGCTAGCCAAAGTCACAAATGAAAAGGCTCTGATAATAATGTAAACACGAGAAAGATTTCCCTGAGTCAGGGCAGCAAAGGCTAAGAGTGTGAAATCTTCCCAAGCTTATGAATAGAAAATAGGTGTTCATGATGGTGTAATTGCCCTTTTCAAAAGAAAACACATTACAGTCAAATTAAAAGTGGCCCTTTGGTCATCCAGAGTGACTCTGCATCCAGCATTGGAGTATCTTCTTCTAAGCTCTCACAGTTCTCTGAACCTCTATCATGTCATTTTCTACAATCCATTGAACTTATCTGTTTACATGACTAATCCACGACTACCACCCCCAATTAGATGATAACATATTTAGAGAGTAAGCCATAAATATTTTACTTTGTTGCCTAGTACAGCATTTGCTGACTTTAATAACAATGAGGTGGCTCTGTAATACCCCCATTTGTTGGTTGCCTTTATGCCAGAACATCTTCCTGGAAAGAAAGGGAATGCACCACCTGTCAAGGAGCTCCTTCCACTTTTTGGCATCCGTTAAATTTCTCTTCAAACAGAACCCAAGTACATACTGTTTCCATATTCTCCTCATGTTCTAGGGCTAACCTTAGGCCACAGAGAACAAACATAATTAATTGCTCTAATTCTTTAGTGAATCCTTCCTTCTTCCAATAATTTCAATTATTCATTATGATTCTGCCACCAATCTGTAGGTTTTACAATACCAGCAAGCAATTCTCTGACACCAGCTGGGTGTCCTATAATTTAACTCAATTCTGACATTATCCACTTGAAGACAGCATCAGATTCCACAGGTTAAGGGCTCAGTCCTACAAGACTGTCTCCTATCCACCCCCACTTCAGAGGTACCAATGGGTGTGTCTGACCTACTGGCTATAGATGAGAGGTTCTGACAACCCCCAATTTGGATGTGATTAATTTGCTAGAGTGGCTCAGAGAACTCAGTGAAACATTTTACTTACTAGAATACCAGTTTATTATTAGAATATAATTTAGGAACAGCCAGATGAAAAAGATGCATAGGGCAAAGCTATGTGGGAAGGAGTATGGAGATTCCAAGCTCTCTGGGCTTGCCACTCTCCCAGCCCCTCCACATGTTCAGTAATCCAGAAGCTCTCTGAACCCCATCCTTTTGGGTTTTTATGGAGGCTTCATTACATACACATGATTAAATCATTGGCCATTAGCAATGGATTCAACCTCCAGTCTCTCTCCCCTTCCCTGGAGTTCAGGTGGCTGTGACTGAAAGTTTCAGCTCTCTAATCACATGGTTGGTTCCCCTGGCAACCAGCCCTCATCCTCAGGTTACCTAGCTTTCCAAAAGTCGCCTCATTAACATAACAAAGACACCTTCGTGGCTCTCATCACTTAAGAAATTCCAAGGGTTTTAGGAGCTCTGTGCCAGCAACTGGAATGAAAACCAAATATATATTTCTTATTATAAATCACAATATCACAATTCATTCAATACAGAGCAAACTAAGTATTTAGCATTACACTGAGGTGAAAAATGCAAAAATGGTAAAAATTAGTTTTTGCTTACTGGGGGAAACAATTTAATAAAGGCAATATAGTTGTTGTGGGGGATCAGAATTGGCCACCCCAAAATGTGTCTCTTTGGCTTGATTATTTTTAAGAACAAAAGACCCTGAAAGAAACTTTGACCTTCCCCCTAATTGCCTAAAAGAATTTAAAACAGAAGGGCCTCTTTCAGGAAAGAGCTAATACTATAAGATAACTGTAATGTAATGTAAAATGCGTTTCTCAGGTCACACTGTCTACAGTTGGCCTATTTGCATTTCCACCTCCATGTAAATTGCCTTCCTTCCCCTTGAAGCCCCAAACCACTACCCCCAACATCCTCCACCATTTTGGCAAGTTACTCAGTTTTCCTGGGTCTCTCCCATGTATACATGTTATAAAGCTTTGTTTGATTTTCTCCTGTTATTCTGTCTCATGTCAATTTACTTCATAGCCCAGCCAGAAGGACCCAGAGTGTAAAGGAATTGTCTTCCTCCCCTTCAATGTAAATGAACAAGTAAAATAAAACATAATAAACTTCTAAGGGGGAAAGAATCACAGGCTACTATAGAACAAATGGAAGATACACTTGCAGAGGGGAAGAGGAGGAGGTCAGAGTAGATTTATCAGAAGAGAGAACACCTCAGTTGTGATCCCTGTTACTTGAGGACAGCTTGACGTCCCAATGGAGTTTTTTCTTTTTCCTCCTATAATTTATCTCTATCAAATTTATACATGCCTGTATTTTAAATTCAAATAGTTCTTGAAAGCTTATGAAGAAAAACAGGAATCACCTGTTCCCACTCCTCCCTCTCCATTCCCATGTCCCAAAGGTAACCCCTGCTTTCCTGTGCTCGGGGAGAGCCATGACTTTGGAAATGATTCCACATGGTCTCCTATTTGCTGCAAATATACTTTATGTTATGCGTCAACTACTTCTGGTGGAGAGTGTGAGTTTTAACTCAACAGCAAGTAAACTCGCTTTGGTTTGGTTACAGTATCTCTTTAGCGAATTTCTACTACTATGTCAAAGACTAACCAGTTGTTCACCAATCCTGTTTCAGCTTCTGAGAAACAGAGAAACTCTACATTTCCTAACCTTCCTTGAAATTAGATTGGGGCCATAATAGTTCTGGCGAAGAGAATGTGGTCAGAAGTGATGAATGCCACTTATAGGCCTGGTCTCTAACATGAATCTAGGATGAAAAAACTCCAAAACAGTAGAGTCATTCTGGAGTGAAGGAAATCTAAATCCTTGAATCAACATTTAGAGGAGAGCCACCCAACCTGCACAGGACTTTGTGTGAATGAAAACTAAAATTTTATCCCTTTATGTCTTGAAGATTTGGAAATTTGTTACCATACATAGTCTAGCCTGTTCTGACTAATGCAACTGAGTCACAAGAACTCTGTGAAATATTCTGCCCAAGGCCAGGGGAGGGGTCAGCTGGTAACTGGGGTGAAGAGGCAGGCCAACAGAGCAAATCACTTGCTCTGTCTAGCTCCCAAGAGGTCTTAGCAAGAGAAAGCAGTTGATGGGTGAAGTCTGATGTGGATTAAGGCTGCCCCAGCTAGAGAAGCCCAAGGTGACCTGGGCTACATGCCAAACTATACGACCCAGTGGACTTTTTTTATGGTATGAATTAGGACCGCCCCAGGGAGAGAAGCCCAGGGCATCCTCACCTACATGCCGATCTATGTGGCCAGATTCGTATCTAAAGTTATATGACCGCACAATAACCAGACCCCATCTGCACTGAAATCATTTAATGACTTTTTACATTATCTTTTCTTTTTTCCAGTAAAAATAAGTCACGTACCCATGCCTTATAAAATTAGCCCTAACCCTCAACTCGGGGCAGCAGCAGGAGCTCTAACTGCCCGTGGGTCCTGTCCCCACACACCAGCTCTGCCTGCCCATGGGTCCTGTCCCCATGCCAGCGGGGGCAGCAGAAGCGGTGGCAGCAGAAGCTCTGACTGCCCATGGGTCCTGTCCCCATGCTATTCTATACTATTCTCTAAATAAAAGAGCACTACTGCCAGATCTTGAGAGTCTAAGAAATCTTTCTTTCGACTCCTCGGCTCACCAACCCCGCATCAAAGTCCACTGCCCTATACAGGTCCCCAAGCTGGAAGCTAACATTCCTAGATAATCCAGGACCTGGACCTTAGAGATGGTGCTGTGCTCCCCTGCATTCAGTTACTTCAGCACCTGTTCCATCCAAAAAATTCAGTGGTGAAAGTCGCTGATGTTGTAGGCTGTCTGACCCAGTCTGAAGCAATCCCTAACACTCAGGGTAGAACAATACTTGGTCCCTAAAAGCAATAAGAACAATGATAGTCCTGAGAGAGGACATAAAATGTGATCTCCGGGGTCAATAAAGAGATTCATCCCACTCCATTACCACTCCCCCCAAACAGCCAAATACAGCTGTTTCCTTTTTACATTTATCTCTAAGTACATGCTTCAGAAAATCGTCAAATGATCTTCAGAACTATGTTTGGTTAAGGTAAGGGGTTTAACCCTACAAAAGACACTGACATGAGCTCCCGTGGACCAGCTTATTAGTGGGGATATAATTTGTTTAAAAAGGTAGCATGGGGTGGGGAGAATAAGTATGAATCAGGAGATCTGGGCAGGTTCTTATCTAAAATAACACAAAAATGAGAGACTAATAAAGTCTATGTTTGATGAAGCAGGGTACTGAAAGTCATCTGCCTATTATACCAAAGCTGCTAAGGCACAACCGTTCAGTTTCTCTTATTTTTCCTAAAATCAGATCTCAGCTTCCTAGAACATGAAGCCTTCCTGGTTTTCATCTCCTAGATCCCCATGAAAGGCTCAGTGTCAGTGTCCAATGTACACATTAGGATAGAGGAGGAGAGGGCTGATGGCCACTCTGAGTTTACTATAACCAGCGTTTCAATATATACATAGCTTACAGCTGTTAAACATACACAGGTGTTCTGGATGAAGTAATTAGTGAATGCCAAGAACTCTTAGTGATTTCTCAAGGAGCCCTTCCTCAGTTTCTGTTTTGATATTATCATGTTATTGCTGTGCTCGTATATTTTTATCTCAGAGAAAGCAAGGTCTCCTAGGCAACAGCCCCTCCTGCTCCCGATATCGATATCGTGTCTCCATCTGTGCCCCCAGGCGACTGTGCCTGTCTTAGGTTGCCTCCCCCGGAGGTCTTACCCATCATTGGCTGACTGCTCTTCTCACCTCTGGGTCACAGTTTGTTGGCAAGCCTTTTCCAGTGATTATTAACCCTTCCTGCGTCAGGGGCAGCTACAGCTCAGAGTTCCCAGAACACCTCACAGCCAGAAAAGATGATACTAGGGCATAAGTAGCTTCTTTTTCTATATTTCTCAAGTCCTACAGGATAAAATAGCAAGTTCTGAAGGAAAGAAGGGCAATTTTGAAGCAACTGTTCACAAAGGGAACCCATGGATATTGCTTACCTGCCAGCACCCCCTTGGAAAGAGCCTTCAGATCCAGTTTGTACGTGTGCTGAAGAAGCAGCAGGGCCTTAGCAGCCCGAATGTCATCCTCCTCTGTAGGGAAAAACTTGTGCAATCATGTGAACCTGGCAATAAACTCTTCCACGTACCAGAGAGGCAGAAAGCAAAGGAGAGACCAAAAAAAGATCACATGAAATTAAAAGGAAATAAAGCAAGTAAAGAACAGACTAGGGCATACCAGCTGACCTCAATGCAATCTACTTTACACAAACCTGAAATAACCTGGAAATAGTGGGAATGAGGGGGCTGGGATGATGACTCTCTCAAACTATGTTGTCCAGTACGGTGACTACTGACCACATGTGGCTATTAAAATGTAAATGTATTAAAATTAAATAAAATTTAAAATTCAGTCCCTCAGTCACACTAGTTACATTTCAAATACTCAATAGCCAGATATGGTTACTTACTAATGGTGGATAGCACAGATATAGAATATTTCCATCATCACAGAAAGGTTTATTGTACGGTGCTGTTCTAAAGGAGCTCCTAGAACCAAAAAAACTTGAGAAAATTCTGTTGCAGACTTACTAGAATATCCTTAAAATGAATCCTTGGTAGTGCTGCAATGTAGCTTACTGAGGTGAATGCAAATTATTTCTAGAGGAATTCACTTTGGCGCAGACCTCAAAGAATTTCCACAAACTTCCAAGGAACGCAAGTAGCTCTCAGTAGGAACAACAACAAAACAAGCAGAATCAGTGCCATAAAAATTCAGATGTTAGAATTATCTGACACAGAATATGAAAAAGTATACTTACTATGTCTGAAGAAGTGAAACAGGGACTTGAAATACAACAAAATTGCAAGAAGGTGTGAAACAAACAAAAACTATTCAATTTGAAATATATAATAACTGAATTAAAAACTCAGTAGATTGGGACTTCTGGTTTTGGCCATGATAATGTAGCTTGCATTGAACTAACTTTCCCATCAAAACGAACTATAAAATATGAACAGAATCAATAAAATAATTATTTGAAGGCATTGGAGAACAATTAATGCAGACTATCTTGGGGGCTATATTCCTTAAGAAAAGGAGGTACAAGAGGTGAACTCCATATTTAGCCTGAATTTTCTAAAAACCACTTAATTGTACACTTAAAAATGAATGGATTTTATGGTATGCAAATAGATCCTCAATAAAGCTGTTTAAAAAAAATCAGTGTTCTTCTCTAAGGAATTGAATGGTCCCATGGAAAAGATCAGATATACTGGCATTTTGATGCTTCCTAGAGTATGACCAGCACTCTACCCAATAACTAAGCCAAATCCTGCCAGTGTAAAGTTCTTCCCATATTTTCAGTATTTCCAACAGGTTTCTAATTTCCTCTCTCAACTTATCCTCTCTCATATGAACAGATAAACAAAAATTCACCAGGCATTTAATGAAAGCCTCCAACGTTAGAATCCATGATAATACTAAAAGGGAGAAAAAAGAATCCTGGATGAAATACATACAATAATGGGAATAAACACAAATTTCCTTAAAATTATTATATAATACTTAGAGATATCTATGATGATAGTACATCCAAAACACAAATGCAAAATGCTACATAAAAAAGAACAATGATCAGAAAAATTAAAAAGATCTTAGAAATTCAAAATATGACTACCAAAATACAGAATGCAAAGTAAAATAATCAGTTCTAGGAAGTACAAATAATAGGCAAAGAAATGAAAAATACAAGAAAAACAAAAAGTAGCATTAGGATCAATGCAACAGATCTCTCATCCACCTAATGTGAGTTTTAGAAAGAGAGAAAGAGAAAATAGATGAAAAGGAATTATCAGAAATACCATTTTCCAGAGCTAAAGAAAAACACAATCTCTATATTGAATGGGCTCACAAAGTGCCATCCTGAGAAAATGAAGCAAACAAACAAAAAACTCCCCAATATTTAAAATATAATTTTGAAATCTCCAGCCCAAGGATAAAGATAAGATCTTGCAAGGTTCAAGAAAGAAAAAATAGGTATTTTGCCATGAAGCCAGAATCACACTGGTATCAGTCTTCCCATCAGCAACAGTGGACACCAGAACAACTACAGTTCTGAGGCAAAACTACTTTCAATTTTGGCATGCTTGAAGCAGGACTAAAGAATGAATAAGATCTATTTGAACAGGAAAATGAAAGTCTCTAGAAATATTTTTTTTAAAGCAACTCATAATAACTCATTATATTAGACTTAGAAAATAAAAATAAAAGATATTCTGACTTCTGCTTCTGCCCACAAATATTAAGTGCTACAAGATTTTCCCTCCCACCATAAACAACTAGAAAATTGGACAAAATAAATCAAACAACTGTTTTCTGAAATCGAAGAAAAGGCAAAGCAGGACTGATCCCTGAGAAAAGAGAAACGAACGAGGTGAGCCCTACAACAGCCCCATCTTTCTGCCTGGAGACAAATTCTGGACATCACTGTAGGGAGAGGTAACCCAAAAAGACCTCAGTGATGTTCTTAATTGAGGAGACATAGATCAGGGTTTTGGGATGCCAAGGCCACAAGAAATTACAGAACAGAGCACCACCAAAGAGGAAGAAGCTAATTACACACATAAAAGATCCTGAAATCTGCAAACGAGTCTCCTTTAGTCTTTGGCTAAATACCATTCTGCATATGCATAAAGTGAAAATCCAAAAGCTAGACAAATAACGCGGGGAAAGAACAATTATCAAGCAACTTTAAGCCAAACAATTATCCGCATTTACACAAGGCAGGGAATCATTTGATTTCCACCATCAAAGTGGAGAAACAGTGCTGAATATATGGGGCACTGAGTAAAGATCCCACCAAAAAGAGGTCTTGTAAGAAGGGTTAAATAATCCACAGAATCAGACTACACTAGATCCACTATAACAAAATTAAAAGCAAGTGAAGAGGTTCAGAATAGGCCTCCCCAAGGTGTGCCACTTTGACATGTGCAATACTTGCAGCTAAAGGCAATCGAGACTCTTTGGGCTCAAGAGATACTTTTATCTCTCCCTTAAAGAATTTAAATTGGGGGCCTTGCCCATAATAAATTATCACCAGAAATAAATTTTCATGACCTATCTGTATGGCAAGGCAAACCTCTAATTACTGAACATCTGCTCTTCTTATCATCCTATGAATTAACCTCCTCCCCTCTGAAGCCAGTGGCCCCATCCCATTCCTTAGCTCAAGATGGCATATATACCTCATTTTACCTTTTATCTCTGAACCTGTCAAGTATTGAGACTTTGACTCAATACTTTGACTCTGTCATGTATGTGGGGTTCCCATTAAATTGGATTTTCTCCTATTAATCTGTCTCATGTCAATTTATCTCTTAGAACAGCCAGAAGAACCTAGAAAAGTAGAGGAAAATTTCTGCCTCTCCCACACAAGCTTCAAAGGGATAAAACTGATCTGTAATTTAAATACTTGGTAGAATAAATAAAACACTCTTTAAAAGCATACAAAATCCAATGCAAAATTCACAATTCTGGCATCCAATAAAAAATTACCAGTCATGTGAAGAAATCAGGAATATGTAGACCATAATCAGAGAAAAAAAATCAATCAATAGAAACAGACTCAACAATGACAAATTATGAACTACCAAATAAGGATGTTAAGACAGCTATTATAAATATTATGAATAAACACAAGGCTATAAAGAAAAACTTGAACACAATGAGGAGAGAAATAGAGATTATTTTTAAAAAACTGAGTGGAACTTGTGGAAATGAAAAATACAAAATCTGAAATAAAATTATCATGAGGTGAGATTGCAACATGTTAGACACTGCAGAGGAAAAGATCAGTATATGAGAAAACAACAACAGAAATAATCCAAATTTAAAAAGGGAGATTTAAAAAAAAGATGGAAAATACAGGAATAAAGCCTCAGTGTAGGAAAATACAAAGCAGTCTAATATATGTGCAGTTAAATTCCGAGAAAGAGAAGAGAAGGAGTGGGAAAATAGAAAAAAAAATGTGTTTGAAAACTGATAGCCAAAATTTTTCAAAAAGATAAAACTATAAATGTACAGATTCAAGAGGATCAAGGAACCCAAGTATGACAAACACAAAGAAAACCACATGAGGGCACATCATAGCCAAAGTATTACAAAAACAGGGAAGAAAATGAAATCATTATGTTCAGAGGAGCAAAGACAAAATGACATCAGATATCTCACTGAAACTACGAAAGTACATAGCCAGAAGGAAATGAAATATCTTTAAATTGTTGAAAGAAAAAAAGCCAATGTGGAATTTTACACTTCATAAAAATATCTTTGAAAAATAAAGGTGAAATGAAGACTTTCAAGACAAACAAAAGTTAAAAGTACTCATCACCAGACCTCCACTACAAGAAAAGTTAAAGTTCTATAGGCAGAAAGAAAATTACACCAGATAGAAACTTGTATCTACACAAAGGAATAAAGAGTGCTGGAAATGGTAATTATGTGGATAAATATAAAAAAGATTTTTCCTCATCATTTAATCTCTTTAAAAAACAACTGACTGTTTAAAGCACAAATAATAGCAAGGTACTGTGGGGTTCATAACACATGTCCAAGAAAAATGTATTACCATAATAGCAAAAAAGAAGAAGAGGAGAAAATGGAGGCATGGGGTTATAAAGTTTTTTACATATATGTAAAGAGGCATGCCAATTTTTAGGTGTACAGATCAGGAGTGTTACGTACATTCACATATGTGCAACCAGTCTCCAGAAATCGTTTTATCTTGTAAAAGTGTAAGTGAAAAATGGTTAAGATGGTAAATTTTATGTTATACATATTTTACCACAATTAAATTATTTTTAAAAAACAGTATGTAACTGGCCTAAGGACACACATACAAACCGATGGAATAGTTTAGAAAGCCCAGAAATAAACCCTCACCTATATGGTCAACTGATTTTCAATAAGGATGCTATGATCATTCAATGAGGAAAGGACAGTCTTAAGAATGAATGGTCCTGGGAAAACTGGATATCCAGACTCAGAAGAATGAAACTGGACCCTTACCTTACATCATATACAAAAATTAACTCAAAATCCGTTAAGTTTAGTCAAAGATCTAAACTTAAGAGCTAACGCTATATAACTCTTAGAAGAAAACATTGAGGAAAATCTTCATGATGTTGGATTTGGCAACAATTTCATGAGTATGATCAAAGGTCAGATAAATAAATGGCCAATAAGCACATGTAAAGGTGCTCAATATCATTAGCCAGTAGGGAAATGCAAATCAAAACCACAATGAGACACCACTTCACACCTACTAGGATGTCTATAATAAAAAAACTGGAAAAAGGGACACGTTGGCAAGGATGTGGAGAAACTGGAACTCTCATGCATAACTGGTGGGAAAGTAAAATGGTGCAGCCACTGAGGAAAACTGTTTGTCAGTTCTCAAAAAGTTAAACACATAACTACCATATGACCCAGCAATACAACTTCCAGGTATATATCCAAAGGAATTGAAAGCAGGGACTCAAACAGATATCTATAGATCAATGTTCATAGCAGCATTATTCACAATAGCCAAAAGGGGGAAAGAGCTCAAGTGTCCACAGATTAATGGATAAATAAAATGTGGCATACACACACAACAGAATACTATTCAGGCATAAAAAATAATGAAATTTTGATATACGCTACAGCATGGATGGACTTTGAAAACACACTTACCAAAATACATCACACACAGAAGGTCAAATATGACAAAATTCCACTTATATAAGGTACCTAGAATAGGAAAATTCACAGAGGCATCACCAGGAGCTAGTGGACGGGGAGAAAGGAGAGTTATTATTTAATGGTTACAAAGTTTACGTGGGAGATGATTAAAAAAAGTTTGGGGATAGATAGTGGTGATGGGTACACCACTGTCTTGTGAATGTGTTTAATGCCACTGAATTGCACGCTCACAAATGGTTAAAATAATAAACATTATGCATATTTTACAATAAAATAAAAAATAGAGAAAAAATAAAACCAAAGGCTGATTCTTTAAAAATATTTTTTAAATAGTCAAAATCGTCAAGAAAAAAAGATATAAATCAGCAAATGCTGTTAAGAATGAAAATAATCAATAAAACAAAGGACATTTAATATCACAAACTAATAACTATGAACAAGTATAGGCCAATACATTTTAAAACCTAGAAAAAACAAAATGACAAAAGTAGGCATAAGAAGAAAAAGAAAGCTTAAATAAATAGACCAACAGACATTAAGGAAATGAAAGTACATCAAATACCTCTCTCTAAAAAATTCCCCAGGTCTTGATAGTTTTATTTGTGAGATCTAATAAAGTTTCAAGGAACACATTCTCAAATACCCTCACAATCTCAGAGATTCAGAAATATGAGGGAAAGGTCACGTACACACATGTACACACAGTACACACACACACACACACACACACACAAACATACAGCTCAGCTCACCAATGCATGGGTCCTGGAGGATAAAGCTCTCCACTAATAACCAATCCTTATTTAGATGCTTCAGCACCTTGTATACATCCACTAATTTTCCTAAGTCGTCCTTATCTTCAGGAATTATAAGATTCAGAGCATCTCTTTTCTCAGTCCAGCTATGGGATTTGTTGGGGGAAAAAACAAAAAGACAAAAATAATTAAATCCAAATTAAGATATTTTATAACAAATTTTAAAAGCGTCTCTCAAATATTGTGAATTTAGTATGTATCAGGCCCTAGAATAAGGAATTAAAAACATTATCTCCAATAATCTTCCCAATCATCCCATGAATCAAGTATTAACACCTCCCCCGCCAACTCCAACTATACAGATAAAATCGGCTCAGAGAGTTTAAGTCACATGACTTCCCCAGGTCTTATAACTGGTAAATAATAGAGTCAGGATATAAGCCCAGGTAAGTGTAACCCCAAAACCAATGCTTTTAATCACTAAGTTATAACTGCCTCCAGATCAGCAAACACATCACCAATATCTGGTTGAATAGATTAGGAAAGAAGATAAGTACATCCACACACAGAGAGTGAGATATACTCTTTCTGAAGGACAACTCTGCAAGTCTGGAATCTAACAATTTCATTTCTATGACTATACTTTCAGCAAGTGTGCAAAGATGGAAGTATAACAAACATCGTTCACTGAAACGTTTTTCCAAATACTTAAAATGTTCAACAAGAGGGAATTTATTAAATTAATTATGATATCGCTACATAATAGAATATGGCACCATTAAAATGATGATGAAATCCATATTTACTAACAAAAAGGCATTAGCTAGAAACCTACTATGAAATAGTAAATGTTATGATCCAATTTTGGTTAAAACTTAACTAAAATTGGCTAAAATAAATAATATTTTTGTGCCAGTGTATGTAAAAAAAAGCCTGGAAACATAGACATCATGGTTATCTCACTGGGAAATTATGAATGGGTTTTACTTGCTTCTTTATTCCTACAATTGTCATGTTGGTTGCCAACTTTCCTGTCATGTTGGTAACCCCCCTCCAGCTTCCTATGAAAATAACTCTGTTCTGGTATCCACCCCCTTCCACACAGCAATTTGCTTCAGGGAAAGCTAGGGCCATTCACTGATCATGTGCTGAGCAGTCCAAGGCTCAAAGCTAATCATGGCGGTACTGTGACCCTTGTCAGTGATTTGTTTTAGCTTGAGCAAGTGATGCAATTTATGCCAATGAGACATAAGTTTATCGGGAGACATTGGAAAAGGTTCCTTCAGTGTTATAAATAAAAGTAAGAAATGGCTCTTTAGCTGAATATTGTGTTGTGTCTAAATATGACACCTTAAAGACACCCTGGTTGAAGAGAGTTAATCTGAGAAGCAGCTATGTCAACAGCAACAGAAAGAAAAGATGAAAAGAACCTGAGCCTCTCTATCAGCCAGCCCTAAAAGTGCCTTATCTCAGGATTTCTTTTTATGTGTGGTATTACATTTTCCCCATTGTTTAAACTATTACTTTCTGCCAAAAGCATCTTGAAATCAAAATATTTTTGTATAGTCTTCATTTTGTTTACAGTATGAATGTATAATTTCTATGTGTCTGCTTAGAAGTATAACAAATACTTAGAATACTTAATATACTTAGAAGTATAACAAATAACTCAAATTTAACTGCTAAACTTTGCCCCCAAACGTGCTCCACCCATTCACTCCCTTCCCCATCTCAGTTGACAGCAACTCTATTCTTCCAACTCGACCTAAGGCTAAAAACGTTAGACTCCTTCTCCTTCTCTCTGTCTCTCTCCTTCTCTACTTCATCATGAAATAACAATGGTTCTACCTCCACAATTAAACTAGAATATGACAACTTCTCACCAACTCTGCCACCACCACCCTGGTCCAAGCCACCATCTTCTCTTATTTAAGTTTTTCCAATAGCTTTCCTAACAGGCCAACCTGCCTCTACACTTGCTCCCAAAAAGCCCATTCTCAGAATAGGAGCCAGAGGGATCCTTTGAAAACAAAAACAGACCATGTTACTCTTCTGACCAAAATCCTCCAAAAGCTCCCAATTTCACTCAGTAAAAATTAGTCTACCATGGTTTACAAGGTCCTACCTAAGCTGGCTCTTCACTGCCTCTCTGACCTCCTCTTCTTCTACTCTCCCCCTTGCTCACTCTGTGCCTTCCTCATTCTGGCTTTCCATTATTCCCTAAACCCACCAGACACAGTCCTCCTTTAGGATCTTTGCTATAGATGTTCTTTATACCTAGAACATCCTTTCCTTGTATAGCCACGTAGCTATCTTCTGCTCATCACTGTTTGGCTTAAATATCACTTCTTTGAAGGGACTACATTGACCATCCTATTTAGTAGTACAAATAGTCCCTACTTCCAGCTCTCCAGATCCCCTTTACCCTGTTTTACATTTTCTTTTTTCCATGGCTCTTAACACTTTCTACAATACTAAATAATTTACTTATTATGTTTGTTGTTTTTATGTCTCTTCTTGCTACCCTAGGGCTAGAATTATGTTTTTTGTTTGTTTTTTACTGCTGTAGCCTAGCTCCGAAAAGCAGTGTCTGGCACATGATAAGTACTCACTAAATATTTGTTGAATGTTGAATGCACAAGTAAATGGAGGGCGAGTGATAAAATCATTGTCATTATTCCAAAAATACCTCTCAATCAACCTTATCTGAGAAATAAGAAACTTAAGATAGCCAAGAAACTATCCACGTGTCTTAATAGGTCAGACAGCTGAGTATACAGTGCAGGAAGAGTGCTGTGAACCGGGCATCCAGTATGTGATCAGAACCCTAG